TTAGATTTTCCTCGTTATTTTTGTCCCATCATTTTGTACTTGACTGCAATAATTCTTAAAAACTAAATAACACACTTACGTTTTGATTCGTTTCAAATGATCGAGCTGGGGGGAAAGTGAAGGACAACGTTATTGCGAATCATTCATTTCCAATGCGTGAATCCACTTTTAGACCATCTGGTTGCAATCTTGAGCGTGGCGAGTTGGGAAGTTCTGATGGTGGTGGTGAACGGGGGCGGCGTATCCGGCCATCTGGTGGTGGTATCCGGCGGGAGCGAAGTGGTTCTGCGTCTCTTTATCCATACTTATCTTCTTTAAGCCAAGCGTTCCTTTTTTCATCGCTCGGTGTTGCCACGCGTTTCTTGTAAAATAATTCACCAATCATCATAGAAAAAGTGATTGAGTTGAGCATTTGCATAAGAATTAAATACTTTAATTTATATTCTAAACACATATGTTATAATCATGGGTTATTTAAAGTCTGATAAGTTTCAGAAACAGAATATTAATAATCTAAGATCTTTGTACATTTTGAGAATCCCTATGATCCATTTGTTCCTTGTTCTCTAGATTACTGTGACTTTTAAATCTCTTCGATACACTCCTACCGCTGGAGACGTCCTCACGCTTCCTGAAGCTCTTTGTGAGCACTTCAGTGCTTGACGATGAATTGCCATAAATTGACTTTAAGAAATCAGGAAGCTCCGGTTTTATTTTCAGCGGTCTCGGTTTCGATTCAACCTGAGCAGGAGGCATCGATGATCGCGGTCGTACCACTTTCGGGTGAATCACATTTGAACTGGAAGAAGAGTTCTGAATCGGCACTTTCGATTGTATCAATGATACTCTGGGTTTCGGCTGGTTAAGACTCTCATACATGCCTTCCATCAGCATGGCTTTTATTTCCGCCTGCGTACTTAGAGGAGCACGCTGTGGTGGCTGTGGTGGTGTAATCGTAAAATTATTTTGTGTGCCGGTTGGAACTTTTCGAGGTCTTCCTCGCTTCCTTACCTCTGGGTTCACCCATATACCACTAAGCACTGGAGGTTTATTTTCTTCAGTGCTGCTGCTGCTTCTACTTTTAATACTTTCGCACGACAAGGCTGGTTTCGTAGACTGCACTTTATTTACCCTGTAACCACTGGGAATCTGAGGCAAAGAAGCTTCAATATTTTCCGACTTGTTGGCCAACGCAGTCGACTGTTGACTGATTGACTCCGAATCTGATTCATCGGAAGAAGAGTCACTCAATCGACTGCATTTAAAGCTTGAAGAGCTGCTGTTCACTTTATCTTGGAGACTTAAAAGCCTGGACTCCAACTCTTCCGGTTTGAAATGAGCCGAAGCCGGAGTCGGAGCCGCAATTTGAGTGCGTTCGACGGATGCATCCCTGGAGCTCGCCGATGAACTACTGCTCAAAGATGTTTTGCTTGAAGGCGAGCTACTGCTCGAAGATGAGCTTCTGCTCGATGAAGAGCTTCTGCTCGAAGAAGAGCAGCTGCTGCTACTTGAACTGCTAGATGATGTGTTCGACATGATGAACAACTGTTAAATGAATACTTAAATCGACAATTTCAGCAATGACAGTTTTATTGCACTACAAACTACCTGCTACTGTCTAACAAATTTTGAAAAAGCGCGCCAAACGAAGAGTTTGAAGCAGCTACTACTGGTACTAGTACTTTCTAACACTGCAGGTAAATAAAAAATAATAATGAACATTATTATAAACTTTTAAGTATAATAATCGTTAATAATTATATAAGAAAAGCTTTAAATAACTTTAAACTGTAACTTTTTTGTTAAACATATATTTACTACTTTCTTAAATATCGTCAAAAGTAACAACTGGAGAAAACAAGTAAAACAAAACATTAATAAAATAAATGTTTATATCAATTTTTCAAAAAAAAACATGAAATTTATAATAATTTTTGTATGGAATAAAAATTGTGCAACGGAATTAAGAAAGTTGAAAAACTTTGCTATAAAGATTCAGTAATTATAAATATTATTTAATTCATACAATGTATTTTTTTCATACAATGTAAAAATAATTAGTAAAATTATAATTAATTAATTATACACTAAAGCATTAAATTAATAAATAATGTTTATCCACTTGTTTTCCGTAGATTTACAAAGATTATTCCAACTTTTACTCATCTCAAAAATTGTTAAGTAATGAAATAATAAACAAGAAACAAACAAGAAGGAAAGCAAAATTATTTTCAATTAATTCCTTTAATTTCTTAGTGAAGAGACCGTCAAATTTTCTAGTTAAGATGATAGTGATAATGATGATTATTATTATCAGAGTTTAAAAGAAAAAAAAAAATAATGTTAAGAGCAGAAGGAAACTTTGTTTACAACAATCTCAACCATTAATATCGTGCTATGTTATAGTAATTATTATTTTTATCACTTAGACTTTAAAGGAGAAATTAATTAATTATTTAAAAAAAAAAACGTATTTTTTTGCTACAATGTTAAATTATTTAGTAAAGTGTGATTAATAATTTATTCATTTATAAAATTTAAATAATTTTATCAAAAAATAAACGCTAAAATTTTCCTATAATAATTATAAAGAAATAATTTGAATGTCTTGAAACAATAGTAAATAATTTACTTTTTTTAATAATTAATGCATAACTGTAGTATTTTTCCCTGAAAACAATTAAACTTTCTGAGAAATCGTTCATTTTGTTGTAAATTTACCTGTAAAAATATTACAGGAAAAGAATTTTCACGACATTTAGAAAAAGAAAATTCTTAGAATTTCATAAATAACAATTTGTTGTATATAATTTCAGTATGATTTTTATCAAAACTTTATTAATATAATAAAAAAAAACAAATATACTCATGATTGTTTAAAACAATCATAAAAAAGTAATAAATTAAATAATTATAAAAATATGTAAAATGTTGTTTATTTATAGCATCTTCAATAATATAATAAATTTGTTGCAACTAATTTCACTATGATTTTTATCAAAATGTTTCAGCAAAAATGATTGTTTAAAACAATCAAAACCATATATAAAACAACAGCAAAATTATATCAAAATTCACACCAAAAATGAAAATATTTTAGCGAAAATCATAAAATTCTAATAATATAAAAAAAAACTTTCTCAATATTGACAAAAAACAATCATAAATTAAAAAAAAAATCATTGAAAATATGTTTTTAATTAGTATTTTTTCTGTAAACAAAAAACACATAAAAAATGTTAAAACTTTCTTAATTAGAA